GGCAGTTCTGTGGGCGAAAAATGCCTTGTTGATGCCAGAGGAGAATGACCAGACTGGTTCCAGCTGATAGAAAGGCAACAGTAACTCAAATAACTACTCATTACAAACAAGGTCTACAGAAGAGCATCTCTGAACGCACAACACGTCAAGCTTGAAGCAGATGAGCTACAGCAGCAGAAGACAAACCAGTGCCACACCTGTCAGCTGAAAACAGGAAACTGAGGCTACAATTTGAACAGGCTCCCCAAAATTGGGCAATAGAAGACTGTAAAAATGTTGCCTGGTCTGATGAGTCACTATTTCTGCTGTGACATTCAGATGGTAGGGTCAGAATTTGCCATAAACAACATTAAAAGCATGGATTCATCCTGCCTTGAATGAAAGGGTTGAGGCTGCTGTTGATGGTGTAATGATGTAGGGGATATTTTATTGGCACGCTTTGGGCCCCTTAGCACCATTCGAGCATAGTTTAAATGCAGTTTAAAAGAGTATTGTTGTTGACCATGTTCATCCATTTATGACCACCGTGCCCATCTTCAGATGGCTACTTCCAGCAGGAAAACGCACCGTGTCAAACCTAAAATCATCTTCAACTGGTTTCTTGAACATGACATTGAGTTCACTACTCAAATGGCCTCCGCAGTCACCAGATCTCAATCCAATAGAGCATCTTTGATGGCACCGGGAGAATCACATCTTGGATGTGCGGCCAAAAAATCTGCAGCAACTGCATGATGCCATCATGTCAGTATGGACCACAATCTCTAAGGAATGTTTCCAGGACCTTGTTGAATCTATGCCAAGAAGAATTAAGGCAGTTCTGAACGCAAAAGGGCTCCAACCCAAATACAAGCAAGGCGTAGCTAATAAAGTGGCCAGTGAGTGTATGTATATATTATAGTTAAAGAAATTATATAAAATTACATCACTTAAAACACACTTTAAATACAGCCCTTATGACAACTTTCTATTGGAACAACTAGTACCGCTCTCCCTACATATTTAGATTTTGTATGTTGATGTGCATTGATTTGTGCCGTGTATCTGTATAAATGAGAAGCATGTTTTGTAACCGATCACGTTCTTTTGAAGTGATGTTATTCCTTTGGCACAAGCAGCTCTAGACATGTTCAATATGCCACCTATATGTCAGTCAGCACAGCAGTGAAGCCCCTTAAGGGTAAAGGATTAGTCCTCTTGTCAAACACAGTGTTCTTCTAACGTTATTCTCTGCAAAGCATGCTTATTGCATCCACACTATCAGCACAGCACAGCTGCTGTTGTCCTTTGATGGATTCTGCATGCACTTGTGATCACACAAGGTGGAAGAAGAGCCTCAGCTCTGTGTGCTAGATGAAGCCCTCTAGCTTCTCTCTGGAGATATACAAATGAGACGTCACAGTCTCTTGGTCTGGTGGTCTCTTCATCTTCAAGACAAAGGCACTCTCAACCACGTCCTGTCTGCCCTCAATGCAGAGAGTCTCCAGTGTTAGAGTTCGGTTTCAGAATTAAAAAAAAGAAAGAAAGAAGAGTTAAGATGCAAATGCTACCGAGTGAATATTGATGCAAACTGCTGAGCAGACAGAAGAATGCTATGCTTTATTCTGTGCTTACACTGAGATAATCCAAATGGACTGAAAACTTCAGGCGAAGCTGCAAACCAGGACAAAAGTTAGAAAACACAAAGACTAAGGCATCGAGAGGTTGGCACAAAGAGAAAGTTCAAGATATGGCAATGTCACGTTTTAAAAACAAGGACAAATTGCATATTAATGCTTGTATCAGCAAATATATCTTGAAATAAGTTTTGTCCCTTCAAAAGAACAGCATTGTGGCGAACAGGACGAGGCTAGGGTTAGGTGGCGTGATTACTGATGAGCGACACTTGTGACAAATTAAAGTATATTAAGATTAACAAATATAAGTGGAAGCAGTGTTCAAGACTGCCTCCTAGTGAAGAAAACACTGTCAGAGCAGAACGGCCACCTCACGTGTCAAACAGGAATTAACAACCTCGGGTTTCAAAGGAAATCAATACAACTGCTAAAAAAAAACTTAAAAAAAAACACTAACCCCAGATATTTCTAAAAATACATTTAAAGGGATGTAGCTGCTGTGCTGAAAGTAGAGTGGTTTGATCAGGCACGTGCCATTCACTGATATTTTAAAAAGAGGACCTTCATCTACAGCAAAAGAGGCACGCTTTCAGGTCCACTACTAGCCTGGCTAACGCCAGACCCAATTCTCGTTGAGACTTGGGTCTGGGAACCACATGTTCATTTTCTCGTATTTGAGGCGTGGTTTACGAATGCCCAGAGCCGTTTATTGGGTGCTAAGAATGTCTATCAAATGCGCCTGTACGTAGCTCATAGCCAATCGTTTCGATTATACCAGATGACGTATGCAGAGCGACAGAAATTAGACGAGGGAGACGACGATGGCCGATGGGTCAGAGATTTAAGTGTAGCCTACACGATGGCGTGTATCTAACGGCCGTTTCACACCGCATGCGTGAGCGGCGCGTATTTTTTTCGGCGTGCATGTTAAGCAATGAGTGCATTCACACCGGGAGCAGCGCGTGAGCGTCGAGCAGGAGCGGTGCGTGAGCAGCAGTGAAGCGGGGGTTTCGAATCTGTTTTTTGCTGCATTGCTCACGCTAAATTAAAGTGAAAGCACACTTTTGATGGACAAAAATAAATGTGATTTCACACAAAAAATGACACAAAAAGTTTTAACAAGAACTTGAGTAGGCAGATTAAAGAAAATAAAGACTCTAAAATATTTATAGAAGATTTACCCGGTAAAAACTTGTTTTTAATTATTCAGTTTGGGTGAAAGTTGTGTATTATATAAATAAATAAAAACTAAAGTAAACTAGCCAGAAAATATATATAAACGTTAGTTCATGTAACGTTAACACACAGACAGCTACAGGCTAGCACAACCCAAATCAAACCCGAGTGTGTGGTTTATTTGTGTGTTTTGTTTTTTATCCACGGAGTTGCTGCGGTCTTGTAAACATCGAAAGTATGACTGAAACTAATAGATTGGAGCCATTTTCTGGGTTGTTTTGTTGTATTACATTTAACTTATATGCGAATGTTGTACACCTCCCCATTACAAACTTTCAAGACTATCAATGTTATAAAATGACCAACTTCTAAAAACAAATGTATAGTTGTCTTTGTAAAGAATTGCTCGCTTATATATAATGCCGAAGTCATATTTCAATGTCTTTGGAAAACAAGAAAAAACACAAAATGACTTAAGCAATTATGCTATGAGGCTAACGACATGTAGCTTTGGAGCCGCTGCTGTGACACTGTCTACAAACGCTTCCAGTGTGAATACTCTCGCGCGTCTGCAGCTGCAGTGACGATCTAGTTACGCTGATGCGCTGCTCAAATGCCGCTCACGCTTGCGGTGTGAAACCTATGTGTGAAACGGCCGTAAGGCTGCATCGAAAGGTAACTTCGCGTCTACTGCCATGTTTGATCCATAGGTATAAACAAACTGCTTCGGTGTGTCACATAGACGCGTCATCGTCTTGCTGCTCCCTCCCCGTTCTGTGATTGGTTCCCTAAATGAGGCGAAAATTTGGTCCATGGTATCCATACCGCCTTTCAGCGTGAATAAAGTCGCGCTGCGGGAAGGCAGTATGGGGAAACCCAGACTAGTCCACTACACTACCTGACCACCTTCTTCAACCCACCTACATTGTCCAACCAATTTACTTTCAGCACTCCATCCGAATATCTATCACAGGGCTGAGTCACACGCCGAAAACATTCTCTGTTCTGCCCTACAAAGGCAAAAGACAGTAATGAACAGTTCATTTTTGGTCGAAAATTAGTTATTGATATTTTTGGGACATTCAAGATCTCCTTTATCATGTGAATAAGCATCTTGAGTCAATTCCGTTGTTTATTCGAGAAAATAATGGGTTGTCTTAAAAGTAACTTCCAAAAGCACAGAAGAAACCAAGACAGAACACCGTAACGCCAGTTACTGTTCTTCGCCTTTGTTTGGAAAGCTCAAATTGAGCTAGAGTACTCTGCTATTATTGTTTAGAAGTTACTGTGCCGTCCTGGAGTTACTGCATTCTGCCTTTGTTTACTGTCCATTAAAATTTGCTGCGTTTAAATTACGGTGTAGCCTGTGTCATACATCTGTCACTGAAGCACTTCTGACACACGATACCTGAATAAAAGTGTAGGTAAAGCAAGTTTAGTTGAGTGGTTGTTTTTACTAATAGCATTTAAGGATGGCCCATTGCTCTCAAAGAAAAATGATAGTTGACATGGCTTTGAAACGCAGACATCAAGGTCAAGTAACACAAAATATGCATTAGACAAACAAATGAGAGATCACAATCTACTTAATTTAGCTAGCAGCCTATAGCATAAATAGGCTAGTCAACTATAATGAATAGGCAACCAAACTGCTCCATATAACAAAGCAAAGGAAGTTACTGGAATTTGCCTTGGTGTGACTTCTCGCTTTTTGCAGACAATACAAAGGCAGAGTACAGTAACTTCAAAATAGTGGTCAAAAGTCAAGTTTGAGCGCAAAGATTTATTTATCTAGATCCTTTTCATTACTAAAACTACTAATTTCCAGTGTCCTGCCTATAATTATTTTGGCTGGACAACTAAAAATCTTTAAAGTCCTTTTTCTCAGTTCAACACTCTTGCAAGTTAAGGTCTTTTGCCTTTGTAGGGCAGTGTTGTGTTCAAGGTTTGGCTTATTTCAGAAAAAGTGACAAAAGGTAAAAATAGACTTCATCTAACAATGACAAATGCCCTGCGAAGTGCCTGAACAACCTCGAGTCGCGGTGAAAAGGTGACGTTTGACACTAGCATGGACGTGTGCCCAAGCAAATGAGCCGTTGACAACGTTCCTGACTTTTGACGCGAGCGGCCCAATGGTTCATGGATTTGGCTGAAAGACTGCTGGAGTGAAGAGGTGTGTCAAGGTGTTTCTGTTGCAGCATGACTCACATGTGAGGCCTACGAGAGCCACGCGGATGCAGAGGTCCACCATCACCGCCCACCTGGGGCCGCAGCGCGCCACCGCCGGCGGGATCAGGATTTCTGCTGACACGTAGAACTGCAGAGCGTAGGTGATGTAGATCCCGAAAGAGTACAGCAGCTTCACGACCTGATATAGCCTACAGAACAGACACACATTACATGCATTTCTTATTTTTGCAGTCATTTATGTCAAACTACCTTTCAAAAGTTTAGTAATCAAGCTTTTGAAAAAAAGTCTCTTATGCTCACCAAGGCTGCATTTATTTTATCAAAAATACAGCAATGTTTTAAATATTATTACAATTTGTAAACATTTTAAAATGTAATTTATTCCTGTGATGCAAAGCTAAATTTCCAGCATCATTACTCTAGTCTTCAGTGTCACATGATTCTCCAGGAATCATTCTAATATGATGATTAGCTGCTCAAGAAACATTTCTTATTATTATCAGTAGAAAACAGTTATGCCGTTTAATATTTTTGTGGAAACTGACATTTATTTTCAGGATTCTTTGTTGAATAGAAAGTTCAAAAGAACGGCATTTATTTAAAATAGAAAATTGAATGCATCCTTGCTGAAAAAAAATATTAATTTCTTTTAAAAAAAAGTGTCTTTACTATCACTTTTGATCCATTTAATATGTCCTTGCTGAACAAAAACATTATTTTCTTTTAAAAAATAAAAATAAAATCGTATTTACCTCAAACTTTTGAACGAGCAACACCTCCACGAATAATAAAAAAAAATGTGTTGATCCATTTTTAATCCGCTTTGTGAATATGAGTTATGGATATGAGCATGATAGTAATACTTTAATAAAATGATTAGACTAACTAATGCTCAACCTAGAAACCATGAAATCTTGTATAATTTCAGTTTACATGAATCTTTTTCATCATCTTCATCAACAAAATCTAAATAAAAAAGTGGGACTAGAAGACAATACACATTAACTATTCCCTGGCACTCACCAGCACAACGGTAAGTTTAATGTGATGCTGCCCCGAATTTGCTCTCCAAAGCCAATGTAGCCGATGGTGCCCAGGGAGATGTAGAGGGTGGTGACGATGCCCATGCCAAGGTACAGAACCATGGGGAACTTTCTGGGATTCTGCATCTTATTCTCAAGTGGTAGCACCTGTAAATGATGAAGATCGAGAGCGACATCTTTTTGAATTGAACTTTTTTCCCCTGAATACTACTTCTTTGGTGACAAACAAAATATCAGAGCAAAAGAAAAACGTACAACTCCAATTCCCTCAAAGGCGAATATTGCCGTTCCAAAGAAGAGAGGATAGTCAACTGCCCGTCCGGCCAGCGGGAGGTTGATGGGGTATGGGATATTCTGAGGATGCAAAAAAGAAAAACATGTCTGGCAGTCTGTGACACTGAGAATATTTCAAAAAAGTTGACATGAATATATAGCGAGGTCCAATAGCCTGAGACCAAGAAAATGCTGCTGGTTTGCATTCTTCTTTGCCAATTTCTTTTCAATTATAATTAAGTATACTTATATACACTATCGTACAAAGTTAATTTAAGTATCTTATACTCACCAAAGCTAGATTTAAAAATACAGTAATTTTGTGAAATTTTCAATTCTAATTTCAACTAACTCTTCTCTATTTAAATAGATTTTAAAAATGTAATTTATTCCTGTGATGGCAAAGCTGAATTTTCACCATCATTAGATACACAGTCTTCATTGCTTATTACTATCAATGTTGAAAACAATTGTGCTGCTTCATTTATTTGTGATACTTTTTTTCAGGAATCTTTAATAAATAGAAAGTTCAAAAGAACAGAATTTACAGTTATATTTGATCTTTTGCAACATTATAAATGTCTTTACCGTCACTTTTGATCAATTTAATGCAAGTTTTTGTTTTTATTTTTATTCAATTTAATTGAACAAATATATAGTTAAATAGTTATCTTAAATATTTCTTATTAATTGTTCATTATAACTCAAATGTGGGTTTAAAACTGTTAAAATCTCTGACTACAGTATATGATGATATGATTTAGATTTGCAAAGTCTTATACTTTTGTATAAACCAGGACACTGATTTTAAATAAAAATTTTAAATAATGTTTTAGAGCATAAATGTTATGCAAATAAAATCAGGTGATCTTATGATGTGCTGTTCAGGTTCAAGAAGCATTTAGAGGAACATTTTGAGTCCTTTTTGCAGCCCTGTAAGCATTCTTGAAACCCCTGACTCTTCATAAAAAAATGTTTTTGCGAACAACAAACCAATTTGCAATCTTCAGCCATGCAACTTCCTCTTGCTGTTTCCACCAAGACAATCTTTCTTCCCTCACTGAGAAATTGTGCTACCCACTTGCTCATTTCTCAGTAGCTGCCTTGCCAATTACAGGTGTGAGGGTACGATTTAAAGCATTTAAAGCTGTTCAATAGGAAACGGGCTCTGAAAAACAACCCGGAAACCTGTTATTTACACTTAACTCTATATCCATAACACCTGAGACTGAATCAGCATCCCAGGGGAGAAGGCTTGGTCCTGCAAATTGCTTGGAGCAGAGGATCTATTGTATTATTTCAAGTGCACTTATAGTACCACTGAAAACATGTATGTAACACAATTTGAAAAAGTAACTCTTTATTATTTTGTTGTAAATTTAAAAGTAGTGTTACTTTACTAGTTACATGAATATCTCATTACGTAAATCACTAGTACTAGTAAAGTAACATTACTTTTATATGTACAACAAAATATCAGAGTAACTTTTTCAAATAAGTTACTTTGCTTTTCCCATTTATTGTATCTACTGCAGGCATGAATTTGCATTTCCTTCAGTCTGAGGAGTATTCATTTCACTTCAAGGCCTTTACATTTGCCAAAAATAAAACTTTTGTTTTTTTTAAACAAACAAGGAAGTCTGGTTAATTGTCATGTGGTTGGTTTTGACATTGGCTGTCATGAGGCCGTTATAACTGTGTCATGAATATTTTTCATGACCTCAACTACAGTGGTACAAATAGAATTTGTCATTAAAATGTTATAATGGCCTCATGACAGCCAATGTCAAAACCAACCACATGACAGTTTAATGTAATGTTAAACCCCTAAAGCTAAGTGGTTTCTTAAGTTTTCTTAATTAATCTGCTATGTCATGTTTATGACATATTTATGTTGGCAGTTGTGTTGTCTTCGTAATGTCAAGTTGTCATGATAAAGACACTGACAGGTTATGATGTATTGGTTTATGTCAAGTTGTCATAACAAAGACATCTCAAACAATGTCATATTTGCATTAAAAATGTCATAATTGAGAGAATGACACTTATTGGCAGTTGTCATAAACATGCATAAAACCTCCTTCATATTCATGACATGTGTCATGAAATGATCATGAAGGTGTCATGTCAGTCGTATGCACACCCCTTCAAGTGAAGTGTTATCGTACATGGTAACTAAAAATATTTTATGATGCAAGTACACAGTAGCTAAAGACAACTAACATAAAGTGTGACTAGACTTTGTAAAAAAAAATGTTTGCCTGAAAAGTGTGTACTATAAATGTGTCTAAAATAAATACCAATTGGATTAATACTTTGTTATATAATGCAATTACATTCCTACATAGTGTGGCTTAAGTGTTCAAATATTTTTTGATTGTGGGCTGATTTACAATAAATAATGAACCAATGCATGGAACAAAGATACACTTTCAACATATTTTGTGCACTATTATATGTGTATATATTTTGTGTGTGTTGCGTGTTTAATGTGTCTTACCGTCAGACAGTAGTAGTATATGAGGACCAGGCTGACACACATGGAAATGTTTGCTACAAACGACAGAGGAGCCAAGTACTTGAGGTTGCGGATAAACACCAACACGATGATAAAGGGAAGGAAGAAGAGCATGTAGAGGCGAGAGTCGTAGCTGGGGACAGTCACTGCTGTCTCGTTGTTGTGACAGTTCACTGTTGTCGCATTGGCAGTCTCAACCACCTACAATGGAAAGATTACTTTATGTTAATAACAATATGACAGATTGTACTGAGAGAATTTTACACTTGTAGTTTCAAAAATAAAGAAAGGAAGAACATCTTTTTTGTTGGGGAGAAGCAAACCCAGGTGGTTAAACTCCAAATGAAGTGAAAGGCAATGCTGCCCTCTTGTGGTGAAAACAAAATCAGTCACAACATTTTTTTTTTTTTTTTTACGCATTTACATTTTATACATTTGGCTGAAGCTTTTATCCAAAGAGACAATCCATTTAGGGGAAATATTTTTTTAGCAGTTTATACATTCTACGCAAATAAAACCAATGACTCTGGCATCTAACATCACTGTTCAACCAATTGGCCAACAGGAATATTTAATAATATGATAGTAAAGGAAATTATGCGAAGTGATTTTAAAGTTTATTATTTTATTGTGGACAAAAAAACCTTTATTAAAATCTGTAAAATGTCTCTTCTTCTGTATTTAAAGATCTCTCACCTGTTTGACATTGTCACTGAGGAACACAAAGTACACGCAGCAGAAGCCCAGCTGGGTTATGTTGAGGAACATATTTACCACACGCCTGAAAGCCGAAAAACAAAACAAATCATTATGTTCAGGTACAGGTCTAACTATTTTTTAGTAATTTTTAGTAATCTAAATGTCACAAGTTTATTTATTAGACAAGCACACCAGTAAGCACACACACACAACTGTTCAAATGTTTGGGGTCAGCAAGATTCTTTTTTTTTTTTGTGACAGAAATTATTACTTTTATTGAGGAAGGATGCATACAGTTTATCAAAAGTGACAGTAAAGACATTTATAATGTTATTTAAAAATAATGTTCTTTTGAACTTTCTATTCATCAAAAATAAATAAATAACGGTTTTCACAAAAATATCGAGCAGCACTTGTTTTCAGCATTGATAATAATAGTAAATGTTTCTTGATCAGCAAATCAAGCCTAGAAGAACGATTTCTGAAGGATCATGTGACACTGAAGACTGGAGTAATGATGCTGAAAATTCAGCTTTGTCATCACAGGAATAAATTATATCTTAAGATGTATTCAAATAGAAAACTTAATAATTTCACAATATTACCGCTAAAACGGTGCGTTGGTGAGCATAAGAGACTTCGGTAACGCTTCCTTTTACAGTCATGTTACCCATGTACATACTATGTACTTATTATAGTAATTATAATTACTGGGTAATAACTAGGTACTAACCCTGAACCTATCCCTAAACCTACCCCTAACCCATGTACTTACCTTATATTAGCCAGTACTTTCTAGGTAAGTACACCGTAAGTACACGTAAGTACTGTACTGTAAAAGGAAGCGTTACCGAGACTTCTTCAATAAACATTTTTAAAAATCTTACTGACTCCAACCATTTGAACAGTAGTTTAAGATTACTATATATGCTATCATGTGCAAGACGTGAAACAGTGACGTTGCTCATAAACCAGGTTCTAAAAGAGTCACAAGTGGTCAAAGATTATGGTGAGAACAGCACAAACTGCACGTCAACTTTAACAGTCTACTGAATAAAAAAAAAACTGCCTTGTAAGCACTGAAACAAAGCCGTTCAGTTACCTTCCCCACAAAGAGTGTCTGCTCAGCCATGGCACGTTCTCCATGCCATGCTCCACTGCATCTCCATAGGAAAGAAAGGGCTTGCCCATCCTAAATAAAGACAATATTTCATTTAGAGAAAAAAAAAGTGTCATTTAACGGTCAATTGTATGACAAAACAAAACAAAAATATATTTATTTTCTACTAAAAATGTTCCTGAACAAACACCAAAATGTAATTATTAAACCATGGATTCATTAATTAACTAATTAGACTCATGAATTCAAGTGACAGCCCTATATGAGTGGTAGATTCGTGTTTAAAGGGATAGTTCACCCCAATATGAAGATTATGTCGTCATTTACTCAACCTCAAGTTGTTCCAAACCTGTATGACTTTCTTTCTTCTTTTGAACACAAAGAAAGATATTTTGGAGAATGTTGATAACCAGACAGTTGACGGCAGCAATTGACTTCCATAGTAGGAAACAAAAATACTATGGAAGTCAATGACTACCGTCAACTGTCAGGATTTAATTTTTTTGGGGTGAACTATCCCTTTAACACTGACTATATGAGGCTTTGAAAAATATTTAACTCTTTGGCCAGATGCAAATGATAAAGCAAACAAAACAAAACTCAAATCCACCATGGCATAATAAAAAAAAGGGTGTCGTGTGTCAGAAAACCTGTCAAAAACATGAGGGGCAGTATTTCTAAAATCATTCAAGCTGTTTATTCTTACTTTACGCTTAGATGATGTGCACATTTCACAAGGAGGTTCATGCAATGTATAGCCACTATTCCCATGGCCAGAAGACTTAAAGGCCCCACCTGCAACATAAGAAGAGACGGAGAACATCAACCCAATGATAAAGCTTGTTTAACTTGCAAACCGTCACCCCGCTTTTTGAACATAAATACACTATACAAACTTAACTGGTTGAAAATCAAAGCCACATTGTAAATATAATTACAATTTAAATTAACTCTGTTCTTTTTTAAATATATTTTAAAATGTAATTTATTCCTGTGATGGCAAAACTGAATTATTTTACAGCATCATTACTCCAGTCTTCAGTGTCACATGATCCTTCAGAAATCATTCTAATATGCTGATTGTTGCTAAAGAAACATTTCTTATTGTTATCAGTGTAGAACACAAAATGTGCACTAAAGGGCTGCATTGGGATTGAGCTCCTGCGGGACCCAACGCAAATCTCGCGGGAGCGGGCGGTCAAAAAAATAACCCTGCGATGTGCCGTGTAGCCTACTCTTTCTCTAAAGCATTCTGTAGTAGGCTAGGCCAAGTGATTCATTCATTATGTCATTCATTCGTTAGGTAAATACAAATACAACGCATAGAAATCCCCCCCCAAAAAAAAGTGTCAAGGAACTTTCTTCACTGAGTTAGGTAGGCTATATCTTCAGAGTTCAACTTCGGACAGGAATTCCGTTTGTAAGATGACAGTCAGAATGACAGTTGATGTATGTGCGAAAACTACTTGTTATGTCAAACACAACAGGTATATTCACCTCAGAGAAGAAGATGTGGATTATATTTTGTGTTTGTAGCTTATTTTTGTTAATCTTGATTTCTCGCAAATAGTGTGTTTTTCTGCGCGAGCGGGGTGAACTGCGGTGCTGTCTCATGAACGCGCAGCACAGATCATCAGGCAAGGTCAGGATTTCCGTTTAATACATTAAAATTCATATCGTATACCCCCAGATCATTTAGAATACACGGCACGTATCGCATAGGATCATTCTGTGATACCTTTGTGTCTTTTTTGAAAAATGTGATGCTGGTCGCTATTCTCACAGCCATTGAATGGATGAGCGCGAGCAGGAAATTAAAATCTGCTTTTGTGGTTATAAACCAAAGAAGGGCAAACGCAAAGTTGTATGTCTGCTGTTCTGAACGTTTAGCATATAGCCCTGAAGTTTGTGTCATTTTTCACAGTTTCTACAAGCTGTTACAATGTTTGCAGGTGCGGGCGGGAGCGGACACAAATATTGCGGGCGCGGGCGGTAGTGGTCAGAAATTCAGCAGCAGCGGGATTGAAAAAACACTCCCGCGCAGGGTTTCTGCATATTCACAACACTTATTAACATTTAACTGGTTAGGTTTGTGCATCCCCACTATGCACTCTAGAGACCAATTTGGGAGGAAAGGTTTTTATATGATAAGGAATCGTAATGTTGTGGTGCAACTACACAAAGCATCCCTAAAAATACAACTGACAAAAAGGTGAAAGCGTGATATTCGTCTGGCAGGAGGCATTCTTCAGGGATGTGGCTACACATCTGTGTCATCTTTGATTAGGTGGAAACACTGTCAGACTGTCCCTGTGTCCTCAGCTGATGCTGAGAGAGGTTTCAGTGCTCTTCAGAGGCTGTAAACATGGCTCCTAAACTTAGTTTGTGCTATGGACATGACTGAGGCACTAAATTACGCAGATTGTTGAGGGTGTGCTATTTTTTTTTTTAAAGTCATGACTAAAAAATATATATTAAAAAAATAAATAAAATTGACATATTACTCTTCAAAAGTTTGGGGTCAGTACAATTAACATGTAAATTAATACTTTTATTCAGAATGAAGGACATTAAATTGATAAAATATTGGCAGTAAAGGCATTTACTGTTCAAATACTCTTATTTTTAACTTTCTGTTCATCAAAGAATCCTGAGAAAATATGAAGTGGCACAACTGTTTTCAACATTGATAATAGTAAGAAATGTTTCTTGCGCATCAAATCATCATATTAGAATGATTTCTGAAGGATCATGTGACACTGAAGACTGGAGTAATGATGCTGAAAATTTAGCTTTGCATCACAGGAATAAATTACATTTTAAAATATATTAGAATAGAAAACAGTCATGATAGCACATTAATAATACATTAAAACACTAAATTGTAATAATATTTCACAATGTTACTTTTTTTGAACAAAGAGCATAAAATACTTAAACTTCTCTAATAAAAACATCAGAAATCTTACTGACACAATTTTTTTTGAATGGTAGTGTACATCGAGGTAGGAAAACAAAAATCTTGAAACCAGAATATGAATAATTAAAGTATTAAAAATGTAAAAATTAAAAATAAATCTTATGATTCTAGTCTTTTGTTTCCTTAAACTCTGTAAAGAAAAAGGCATTTTTATTTTTATTATTTTTTATTTTCATGCCAGTGACACTAAAATTTCTTAGAAGTCGCCCTGATCACCAATGTTTACCATGGATTTGCTGTAGTAGTAACACTAACTGTGCCCATGGTATTTTGGCAGAAATGTGGTATATTCATATTAAATGTAAATATATTAAAATAGTCATGTAAATAGTCATGTATAATGTATTAAGTATTAGAGGAGTGATGAAATATTAGTCTTTTTTATTTTTTGCATTTATATTATACTAATTGTGCTTAGGTTTCTGTTTCTCAATACAAATACCAAAGTTTATAGAAACAATATAGTTATTTTTTGCTACACCCTATACTACCACATGACCAGATCTCAGTCAGTGGGAACAAAATGACAACCCACAAAAATGAACAATCACGGTTTGTGTTGCCTGTTCAAAAACCAAAAGGTGTGGAAGTTCTTAATATACACTCATAACACACATCTACTGAGAAGCAATAGATAAATGAAAATGAAAGGCTGACATGATGTTGAAATAGATCATGTTCAGATAAGGACATACAACAACTGCCACAATGAGGATACAAGATAAACCAGAACACAAGAACAGTTAAAAATAAAATTGCAACATCATAATGCATTAATCTCCAAATTAAATGTTCTGTCCTACCACGAGTCCTGCATTCTTGACAGCCAGAGGCAATCCGAGCAGTCCCGTGCCAATATTTCCTTTTAGTAAATGAATTATGGTCTGAAAAAAACTGGAAAAAATAAAACAATTAAAATAGGTCAATGAACATAAAAGTTTTAATAGGCGAAGATCACAGTGCTTACGAGGATCCTGTTCTTCCTCCGATCCGTTCATATTCGGTCTGCCTTGGGGAACCAGGTGAGCAGATGGGCTCATCTTCAGTGGGGCTCTCGGCTCTTCCAGAAAAATCTGGGCCTAGGACCAACACACAGATATAGCTTTCATATAATATTAAACATTGAATAGAAAAAAAACACATACACCATTGTTTAAAAGTTTGGCGTTGGCAAGATGTTTTTCTATTTTTGGAAGAAGTCTCTTATGACTGCCTATTTATTTGATCAAAAACACAGTAAAAGCAGTAATAATTTGTGAAATATTATTACCATTTTGATTTAAAATAACTGTTTTTGGTTTTAATCACTGATCTATATAATGTCATTCTATATAGATCAGTGGTTTTAATGCATTTTTGAAATGTAATTTATTCCTGTGATGGCAAAGCTGAATTATCAGCATCATTACTCCAGTCTTCAGTGTCACATGATCCTTCAGAAATCATTCTAACATGCAGATTTGACATTTCTTATTATCATCAATTTTGAAAGCAGATGTGCTGCTTAAATGTTTTTGTGGAAACCGCGATACACTGTTTTTGAGGATTCTTTAATGAATAGAAAGCTAAAAAAAACAGCATTTATTTGAATTAAAAATCTTTTGTAACATCATACATGTCTTTACTCAATTTAATGCATCCTTACAAAATAAAAGTATTCATTTCCTTACAAAAAAAAAAACAATCTTACTGACTTCAAACGTTTTGAACAGTAGTGTATGTTTGTTCATTCTTTTATAACATCATCTTTCACTAAGCTTAGCCAAAAAACAAAACAAAAAAAACAACAGTAGTCACAATCAGTGTACCATATTGCAAAGGAAATTGGTTTACCATCCTGATAGTTGATATCAGAGGCCATGTTTGCTTTGGTAGGGTGTAATTTGCCACTGATAGCTTCACTGATCAAAAGCTTCCCTGCGGAGACGCTGCATCTACAGGAACTGTGATCGCAGACAAATGAACAGAGTTAATAGCCCTCCTGGAACACACGCATGACGCACACAGTGCCCTTTCTGGGTCATCTCTTGAGGCTGAAAACAATATGAGGATTTCAAACATGCAAAACGACTATACAATCAACATTAGTCATATCTGACACTTTAATGTAGAAGTGAGAATTTCACACAGCAGCTCAAATGAACTACTGCATCATTCGCAGCCACAATCTGTATTATCATGCATCTAGAGAAAATGATGAGGAAAGAATTATTAATGCGTTGTCTAGTTGTCAGATATATCCAAATGATTTAACCTCCATTGCAAATCAGATTCATTGGCAAAATGTACAGACTTTCAGCTGTTTGCAATGAACCAATCAAACAAAATTAATTGAAATGGCTCAACACAACAAATGGTATTCCCAAATTCATCTGAAAATGCAACTTTTAATGTCTTCTGCTGTGTTAAAATTATTCAACCCTTTCATGGCAAGAATCTTTAGTACTTAGTAGAACACGCTTTTGTTGTTATGACCTGCTGCAACAGGATGTATAACCAGACACAAGCTTCTGGCAGCGTTTCTGAGGAATCTTAGCCCATTCCTCATGAGCAATGGCCTTGTTCAGTAATATTCTTGGGTTTTGCGTGCTGCAACCACCTTCTTTAAATCCCACCAGAGATCTTCTATGGGGTTCATGTCAGGTGACTGTGTCACTGTAGAATCTTCCCGGACTTCTTCTGCAACCAAGCCTTGGTGAAATTTGAGGTATGCTTGGGATCATTGTCCTGTTGGAAGGTCCAATGACGCCCAAGCTTCAGATTCCTCACTAACAGCATGATGTTTTCTCCTAGGATTTCCTGATACTTCAATGAATCCATTTAGCCTTTCACACGCTGCAGGTTTCCAGTGCCAGAGGATGCAAAGCAGCCCCAGTGCATCACTGAGCCCACCGTGCTGAACTGTAGACAGTGTTCTTTTCAGCATATGCTTCATTCTCCTTCCTCCAGACATACCTCTGATCTATAGGGCCGAAAAGTTTCAGTTTTGTTTCATCGCTCCACAGACCAGAATCCCCCAAATGTCGGTGGCTTATTTGTATGATTTTGGGCAAATTGGAGCTGACTTTTCTTGAGCTTTTGGGTCAATAGTGGTGAACGTCTTGGAGTTCCGGCATGGAAAACGCATGCGTTTAGTACGTGCCTTACTGTGCAAGCTGAAACCTCAGTGTCTGTTGCCACCAAGTCTTGCTTCAGGTCTTTTGCAGTCACTCAAGGGTTTTTCTGAACCTGCCTTCTCAGAAATCTGTTTGCAGCCATTGATAGCCTATTTTTTCTGTCCCGTCCAGGTAGTGTAACCACTGTTCCTTTAACTTTGAACTTGCAAACTATGCTTCCAACAGTGTCTCTAGGAACAATTAGTGCCTTCGCTATCGTTTTGTATCCTGTTCCTTGTTTGTGAAGGGCGATCATGATATCTTCTCTTAACTTTACGCTATATGCCCCATGTACACAGCATCGGTTGTCTAGTGTAGCAATGCTTAGTGTATTGTCCCTGTTAAATAAAAAAAAAAATAAAAAAAATAAAAAACTTTTTGGACCATTCTTTTGACGTTTGCCATATTTCTAACATGCAGTCAAACGTGACACTCAGATATTAATGCTCATCATGAGTGTGAAATACACCAGTTGTGTATGTCAGAAAGATGTCACAACTATTTGAAACTGTTCCAAACCACATATGTGGAAAGATGTTAGACAATTCAGCAAACTCATTCAGTCACTGAGTAAAAGCTGTAACTAAAATGATTAAACCACAAATGATAGCCTCATAAAGCTCTTTTGCTACAGTTATCGGAGCATGACTCCCACACATATGAGAATGCAAAGCAGGAAAGAAAGGAAAGCCCTCAATCTTGAAGTGTATTTTTAGAGCTCCCTTTAGAGCGTTCACGACAGTAATCTTTAGTAATAAATTGTAATGCTTTCAAAAATAACCAGTAATATGCCCTGAAGTTCCCGACAGCATTCAGCTGTCGACGCTGTCACACCTGAAGGTCTTGTCTCCTGTTTATGCTAGCTAATGTATAGCTACTACATACATGAGATGACAGACTTGGACTTACCGCAAACACAGCTCAATGATATTCATCTACTATATGAAGCTCATAAAGTTATCTGAACCCGGATATGCTATCAACACAGACGCGAACAGATGAGCAGACATGATCTGATCCGAATCTGCTGTCTCCTGTCCGCTGAGATCAGGCTGAGATCTGATTCTGCTGCGACGCAACGCGACGCGCGCGTCCTCCAACTGCTGCTGCTGTCACATGACCATTAACACGTGGCGGTCAGCTGATTTCACTTCTGCCTTTACAGTCTATATGGCTATCTATGGTACAGAGCAAAACAACAAACATGACAAATGTTGACAACAAACATGACAAACAACAAATGTTTCTTTTTTAAAAAAAATAAAGAGTTCAACTCTTAAATTCTATCCACATCCCATGTTACGCCTTTGGCAACGTAAATTATGCCGAAACACTCACATTCGGTACATAGCCTAATTAGCATTATTTTTTTGTATTTCATTATTTCTTATTTATTTATTTGTTTGCTTGCTTGTTTTATTATTATTATTATTATTATTATCCCTGCAGAGGGAGCGTCGAGCAATTGTTTATTGTACGTTTTTAAAACGCTTGTACATTGTAACTCTTGTAACCGTAACACAAACGTGATATCTATTATAGAAGAGTCTCACAACATGCGCCCTTTCAGTGGATATATGTACGTTTAGTTGGTGTTCCAATTGAACACTTTTGGTCAAAAATATTAGTATTTTAGTGATAAGCCCTAAACTAAACAGCGCGTCATCATATGTGCAGCAAGTCCCAACAAAAGCGAGTCTGCACTGTAGACTTTTGAGCTGGCAGAGACAATCGGATCGATCATGACGGTAATTTCACATTTAATCAAAAAATTTAACTCACAACGATCAGTTTATATGTTGCTGCCAGATATCTGGATATCGTAAATCACTTTAAAAAAAATATAACTTCACAGACACTTAGCTTTGTAGCTAGCTTGTGATTCTCTAATTGAATCAAATATGTTTTCTTCTCTCACGGACAGACTCACGAGTTTTTTGTTGACATGACATGTGAGGGATGCTCTGGTGCAGTAACTCGAGTGCTTAAAAAACTGGGTAGGCATTTAAATATTTCATATTTCAAACAGTCTACTCCTGTAAGTCATTTTTAACCGTGTGTAAACCTGTCAAAGCTATTTAAACTAGATGTTTGTGAAAGTGAAACTACATTAGATAAAAACATCCTAAATGTAGCTTAATTTCCTTTTCTTTTCTAAGATGTGCCTTTTCATGTGTGGGCATTGCCCCTTTAAGTCTTTGTCATAGTTCATAGTACAGTTGTGTGTTGTTGTTTTTTTAGCAGATGTCAAGTTTGACATTGATCTCCCCAATAAGAAGGTCTTCATTGAGTCAGACAAAGACACAGATGTTCTTCTGGAAACACTGAAAAAGACTGGGAAAACTGTTACCTACATCGGTCTAAAATGAAATATTATACATTAAAAAACTAAAAGGTGAGAGAAGCAGCTGTCATTAATTGCAAAGTACTATTGATAGTACTCTATTTTGATTCGTTGAACCATGTTTTAATAGAATCGTGCTGCTTTGAGGATTATGAATTGGGACCGTTCATCACACATCAGATAAATCATCACGTATCTTCGGGACCACTGAAGGAAATCTGTTCAGCAGAGCATCATGAAGTGCAGATATAAGGCAGATTTCTTGTCAATTATAACAATGTTGAAATCTAACCGTTTACAGTGTGGTTGTTTTCATGCTACACTTTTCTGCTTGGAATTGTTGTAAGTCTCCAGATGATAATTCAAATAAAGATTCCTGTATTTACCTGGAGGAAAACAAAACTTTGTGAATGTTTGGTGTTTGTCTAAAACTAATATAATTGAGAAGGAGATTCCCCCTTCTATGTAAAGCACTTTGAGTGCTGAGAAAGCGCTATATAAATGTAACAAATTATTATTAATTATTTTACTTTTATAGTTCTTATTAATATTTTGAATTAGTTTTTAATTTTATATTTTCATTTTAACCCCAAAACAGGCAACGTGTACCACATTATTCTTATGTCTCTTGTAGGAAGCACGATAAATCATTTTTCATCCAGTGCTGTTGTCAATATCATAGTTGAGTCTGTTTGGAGTATGTGGGTCACATGACTTGGTTCAAATTTGCTGTGCTCATTTTGTCAGTTTGACCTAAAGCCAACATGTCCGCCCATAGTGCTGGACATTCTGACTTTGTATAAAGTAGGCATATATTAATCTGACTTTTTCCTGAAAACAATAAAATAAAATAAAAACAATACACCTGCTAATATTAATTGTGAACATTGTCTTAAGATGTGGAAAGAGAAAATTAGGTCATATGTTGATCATGCTGTTATTTACCGCATTTTGAAAAGTGTGTATCCCCTGAGATAGGCTACGTTACCAGATTAACAAACACACCTGTAAAGTCTAACTTCAGTCTTTAGGGTTACTTTAAAATTATCATACAAAAGTTCACACAAAAGTTGTATCATAAATCACATTATATGATTGATTAAGGATGGAGCTAATGCCTGCAGGACAGTGGAGCTCAAGGGCTTGAGTTTCCCACAACTGAGGTTGAAGACGAAACTGTTCAGCAGTGAACAAATATAAGAAATGTATATGCCTCAATTTTAGGACATTTAGACATGTCATACATGCAGCATATTACATATTTTTTTTTGCATCAAACAAATCACAGAAACATTGACTTAAGCCTTTTATTTATACCCTAATAGAGCAATGTATCCTGGGAGATACAACTCATAAAATCAAATATTTCAAAAATCCAATTGGAAATGTTTTACTTATGTTAAAAGTGACATGCAATAATTTTTTGATGATCATTTTCCACTCTTGCCTAGGGTTAATTTTCGTTAAAGTGTTAGTTGTTTTTCTGTGCGTTTTGTCATTTTTACAAGTTTGTTTTTAAATTATGTTTATATAGTATTTATATTTTTTTGTGTTATTTTAGTACATTGAGTTAAACTAAATGCAAACGAGAAATGTTGCCTTTGCAACTATCTAAAATTGTTGTTTCTTTTAGTTTTTTATATATTTTATTTTATATCAGATAATGTTTATATTATTTTAAGTAACGCAAATGTTTTGATGGTTTTAGTTTAATATTTTTTAACAAATATATATTGTTCAACAAATTATGTTAATATAACTGTTAAGAGAGCGCTTAAATGCTTAATATAATTCTTACCTTTTTAATGGCCCTTTCAACTTGATTTGAAATGCTTTTTTACACAACACCTTAAAGAGATAGTTCACCCAAAAATGTTGTCATCATTTATTCACCCTCATGTTGTTCCAAACCTGTATGAGTTTCTTTCTTCTGTTGAACACATAAGAAAATGTTTTAAAGAATGTTGGTAATCAGACAGTTATTGGAACCCATTGAATTTCCACAGTATTTTTTTCCCACTATGAAAGTCAATGGTTACCATCAACTGTCTGGTTACCAACATTTTTCGAAATATTTAATTTTGTGTTCAACAGAAGAGAGAAACTCATACAGGTTTGGAACCACTTGAGGGTGAGTAAGTAATGACAACATTTTGGGGTGAACTATCCCTTTAAGGCACCTAATGAAGTAATATTGGTTACAGTACAAAATCACATCTTTATATTATTTGTGAAGCAAATGGACTTCTGTCAGTAGGCTTACATTTTTAGCCTCGGCACCAGTAGGGGGCAATGTTACCCTTTCAATAAAACAAATCCATTTTCAAGGCAGCATTTTGTAAATTGAGTGTCTGAATGTTTTTTTTTTTTCATCCCAATGACCCCCTTGGTGGACTGAGAGATGTATACATTCATGTATTTACATTATTTATTATTAACGGTTTGTTGGGTTAGTTTACATGATACATTTTATTGTGAAGAGAAGATTAAAAACTCTGAATTCTTGCTTTTTGAGGATTGGTTGAAGTTACAAAAATTTGCTGACCCCCTGTTAAAGATCTCTGTTAAATGTAAACTGAATCTACATCACACAGCCTAAGTTAAACATTTACTATATTCTATTGGAATGCAGTTTTGTTCTCATTCTCGTGATACATTAGAGCTCTATACTGCCCTATTGATGAAGGCAAAAGCCCACGAACAAAGAAAACGTTTATACAATTTTTGAATGCAAAAAGACCCAAAGCCATTGACGTTGATGTTGGCAAGTCAACTATATGTCCTATCACTAAAAAGGTGGCGCAACTAATTTGAAATAAATAAAGCTTGCGCTTTAGGGACACTGTTCAAGGAGATGTTCCCGGGAAACCACAAATCCTACGGATGGCTCCACTAGGGAGGTATTCTACAGAAGTACAAGGGTCATAATCACAAGAGAGTAACAAAGAAATGCCATACGAGCTGTTTCGCAAAATGTAGTCATCAAGCTGCTGCGTAGGAATGTATTACAATCAGCAGCTCAAGGGACAAAGTCTCATTTTAATACAAATGACTGTGCACACTGCTTGTACTTTAGAAATGGGTGTTTGCTGGATACCAATATGTCTATAGCACATTTTTGTACTTTGGAAATGGGTGTTTGCTGGATATGTCTATAGCACATTTTTGTACTTTAGAAATGGGTGTTTGCTGGATACCAATATGTCTATAGCACATTTGTGTGTAGTATCAGCTGTGTCAGGTGTGTGGAATACAGATCCACAAAATATAAGTGAGTGCATTGTTCTCATTGATGTAGAACAGGTTCTTACCCGAAAAGAATCTGAAAGAGTGAATCAGCGACTTGCTTTTTCCCATTGTTCAAGCTGGTTTATAATTGCTAAGGGTGTAGCCTATGAAAGCACAGAGGAGATGTTGACAGGCAATGCAGCTGTACTAAACCAGGGCTGTCAGCAGGGGCAAACAACATACTGTATATCTATGAATATTTATTTACTGATAAAACAATACCATGTAACTCTGGAAATAGACCCTGGACAGAATGCAGCAGTGTTGTAAGCCTATTTACACATCACACTCAACAACTAACCAAAAGACAAGAGTAAGACTGTCTTCACCCATGCCAAGCTGGTTTTAAGTGATGGGAATAGAGATGGAAACTCGCTCATGCTACTGTGGTGTCCACACAATT